ATCTGGGCCTGTTGATGTACTACTAGGAACCCTTTTCTCAGCCCTTTCCCACTCTCGTTGTGAAAATGGAGCCATTGCACCATTTGGTTCGTCCTTGTCTATTGTGGTGCATAAAGCACTTCTTTGTTGAAAGTTTTCTGTCACCCTTATCCTTATATATTCAATAGCTTCGTCCCCTTCTAGCCTAGCACCTTGGGCTCTAGTTATAAAACTCTGCTCTAGGCTCGTCTCATTTCTTAGGGAGTTTAGATGGTTCCAAAATTTCGCAGCTGCCTTTCTATCTTTTTTATGTACTTCTGCCAGCCACCGAGCTCCCTTCCTTCTAATCTTTTCATTGATCAGAAGGGATGCATCCCTTCTACAGCTTAGAAAGGTTTCCCATTTCCTTTCAACATCATCTGTCGGTTCACCCCGCTGCTTAACATGTCTGTGTTCCCTAGAGACTTCCTGACGTTTTGCTATGGCTCTCTTGACTTCCTCATTCCACCAACTTTTGGGTTTCTGTCTTCTTTTCCGGGGTGACTTGTCCCGCGTCTTAGCAAGCTCAAGCTCAAAGAGTCTAATTAGATTCGTGTATGTCCACACTGTCTTATTATCCTCCGTGATTACTTTCTCAATCTGTTTAGTGGCTATTTCAATTTGTCTTTCTGGATAAAAATTTTCCCGTAGTTGCTCATCTTGTCTCCTTCCCACTTTCACTGCTCTTCCAAAACTTAGCTTGATACGTTTGTGATCCCTACCCCGACTTCTGGAGCTACCTTCATCTATGTGCATTCCCCTGAGCTTATCATACATCCTGTGTGACGCCAGTGCATAATCTATCGTCGACTGCAGCCTTCCTACCTCCCATGTTATTCGCCCTTCACACTTTTCGGTACTGTTGCAAAAGATCAAATCAGGCCTTTCACACATATCCATGATTATTTTGCCTGTCGGGTTGGTATACCCATCTATATCTTCTATGTGTGCATTAATGTCTCCTAGTATAATTATCTCGCACTCTCTTCCTAAGTCCTGAGTGTCCTTTGATATACACTCTACCATTGCCTGGTTTTCCCCTCTGGCCTTTGCTACCGTCCACAAGTACACGAAACCAAGGAGTGTCATTTGACCTGCCACTTTCCCTTTTAGCCATAAATGTTCCTTGCACTCCTGCTTGACCCTTTGCCAGTCTGTACTTTTATGAATGAGTGCCCGGATACCACCCCCCTTTCTGCTGCCTTCTGTTATATTACCATATTCCCACGCGAAGTCCGGATTGTTCGGAGGTTGTTCCATGTCCCTGAGATTGTGTTTATACGAAACCGTATACCATCGGCCTCTCTTCCCTTAGCTGTTCTTCTATCTCTTCCCACTTCAGCCTGTTCCTACCACCCTGCATGTTAATATACCCAAGTCTGAATTGGCTCGGCGATCGTGGCTACGTCTATTTATGCCCCGGACTCTTCCTATCTTAGATATTGGTGCCACTTTGGAATCGTATCTGTCCGTACCACCTGTCGACCATACGAAGCAGCGTCACGGTGCGGAGAAAAAAGTGGGCCACGCTCACCTCTGGAAACAAGTTTTTCCCGCGTGATTCAGACGGCCTAAGGAAAACCGGCGTCACGCCCACCATCTCGGAGGCCACGGTCTAGTCGGTAATAATTCAACATTTGGCCGAGAACGTCACTCCCGGCATTACGGCATCTACGGAAGTTGCAGTGCTGAGTGACGTAGCCCAACGGCTTACGTGTTTCAAGCATCTGTCGATCTCGCGGCTAGGACTGAGTTTTCATTAGTTTATGCCTGACCACTCATGAGCGTTACAGCTGGTCAGCGCGTGGCTTTCGGACACGAAGCCGCGCCCTTTCTCTATGGAGAGGCGTCGCGTACTAAAAACATACGCTGACGCGCTGCAAAAGGTACGTGTGGTCAGGCTTGTAGAGATTACACTAAATGTTTTGTAGAATGTTGCACACTCTGTAATACTTGAAGGCGAAAGCCTTGCTTGGTAATGCAATGAATATCTTTAAACGATTGTATTGATGCGAAGCCTATAGCTTAGTTCTCGTAAAATCAGTACTTCATGCACGCTGCAGATCTTTGCGTGTATCTGCTGAATGGGAAACTTATTTAGCTTGCTGGGGGATGTTACATATTATTGAATCGCTGGAGCAATAATTGCTTTAACATAGCGCCCAGACTGTGCGTGAATAAAATAATTGGAGTAGAGTTTTGATGTTCTGCTAATAATATTCAAGTATTTATTCTCTTTTTCTTTCTTTATGGTACTCAAAGTAGAAAAATTAAATTTTGATCGTCTACAGAATGCCATGCATTGCGATGACTTGATCTGAAAGTTGTTTGCAACCGTCGGTACATGCTGTATATTACACACAGTATCCGCCTATTTAAAGACATGGTACATGCTGACGTCCCATTCATTACGTCACCTGTCATTTTTTTTGTACCGCTTCATTCGCCTGTTGTGCAACGAGATGCCTTGAAGGGCCACTCACCAGCCCCCGAAAATACAAAATGAGTACTAGGCACAGCTTTATATTACACACAGTACCCAGCTACCTAAAGATATGGTGCATGCTGACGTAACGTTCGTGACGTCACTGATGAATTTTTCGTACTACTTCATTCGCCTGTCACGCAGCGAGAGGCCTTAAAGGGCACCTATCAAGCATTCGTAAATACAAAAACGAGGACGTTATTTTCTCCTGGCATTTCTCGTCTTGAAGGGGCATTTCGTGACGCAAGGACAGTGATTTATACGAGACGCAGTTACGGTACATGCTGTTAACCAGTTCAAAAACGCAAAATATCAGCTGTTACTTGTCTCCTACACAACTCTGCTACGCAGCCGCCCATCCGTTCTTCCTTGTCTCGCATGACTGTAGTGTGCAATGAACACATTTGACTTCGTTTTGTGTATTTCCGGCTGCGCAAGCGGATATTACAACAGATGACTAGCAAAAAATCCTCATAGGCTCCACGCTTCTAATTGATACTGTCCACGTGGTTTTAAGAAAGAAGTTGCGAGGAGAAAATATACTACACACCTTCGTCAACCGTAACGCTTATTGGCGTTGTGGGTAATGAAATAAGGAAATGAAATATATCACTGGTGTAATGAAAGAGAGAAATAAACCTCGTCTTTTCGCTCCGGGTGAAGGGGCGGCCCTGTTAAGAAGTAAAAGAAGGAAGTGCTGACCGGGCGCAAAGGAGACGTCCACGTCGTCGTCGTCGTCCGGGCGCTGCTGCTCGGGGCGCCGCAACCAGACATCGCGGCGCCGGGTGATGTGGAACTGCGTGTCCAGCGAGAAACGGGTGGGCACCGGGTCGCTAACTTGCTGAAAGTGGATGGGCAGCTCGAAGGGCACCGGCTCCTGCGGCGTGCAGCGCATCGGCTCCGAGAACGGGCTAGTCGGTAATAATTCAACATTTGGCCGAGAACGTCACTCCCGGCATTACGGCATCTACGGAAGTTGCAGTGCTGAGTGACGTAGCCCAACGGCTTACGAGTTTCAAGCCACTGTCGATCTCGCGGCTAGGACTGAGTTTTCATTAGTTTATGCCTGACCACTCATGGGCGTTACAGCTTGTCAGCGCGTGGCTTTTGGACACGAAGCCGCGCCCTCTCTCTATGGAGAGGCGCCGCGTACTAAAAACATACGCTGACGCGCTGCAAAAGGTACGTGTGGTCCGGCTTGTAGAGATTACACTAAATGTTTTGTAGAATGTTGCACACTCTGTAATACTTGAAGGCGAAAGCCTTGCTTGGTAATGCAATGAATATCTTTAAACGATTGTATATATGCGATGCCTATAGCTTAGTTCTCGTAAAATCAGTACTTCATGCACGCTGCAGATCTTTGCGTGTATCTGCTGAATCAAAAATGTTTTTGGGAAACTTATTTAGCTTGCTGGGGGATGTTACATATTATTGAATCGCTGGAGCAATAATTGCTTTAACATAGCGCCCAGACTGTGCGTGAATAAAATAATTGGAGTAGAGTTTTGATGTTCTGCTAATAATATTCAAGTATTTATTCTCTTTTTCTTTCTTTATGGTACTCAAAGTAGAAAAATTAAATTTTGATCGTCTACAGAATGCATGCATTGCGATGACTTGATCTGAAAGTTGTTTGCAACCGTCGGTACATGCTGTATATTACACACAGTATCCGCCTATTTAAAGACATGGTACATGCTGACGTCCCATTCATTACGTCACCTGTCATTTTTTTGTACCGCTTCATTTCGCCTGTTGTGCAACGAGATGCCTTGAAGGGCCACTCACCAGCCCCCGAAATACAAAATGAGTTACTAGGCACCGCTTTATATTACACACAGTACCCAGCTACCTAAAGATATGGTGCATGCTGACGTAACGTTCGTGACGTAACCGGTGAATTTTTCGTACTACTTCATTCGCCTGTCACGCAGCGAGAGGCCTTAAAGGGCACCTATCAAGCATTCGTAAATACAAAAACGAGGACGTTATTTTCTCCTGGCATTTCTCGTCTTGGAGGAGCATTTCGTGACGCAAGAAGAGGGATTTATACGGGACGCAATTACGGTACATGCTGTCGATTGGTTCATATACGCAAGATATCAGCTGTTACTTGTCTCCTACACAACTCTGCTACGCAGCCGCCCATCCGTTCTTCCTTGTCTCGCATGACTGTAGTGTGCAATGAACACATTTGACTTCGTTTTGTGTATTTCCGGCTGCGCAAGCGGATATTACAACAGATGACTAGCAAAAAAATCCTCATAGGCTCCACGCTTCTAATTGATACTGTCCACGTGGTTTTAAGAAAGAAGTTGCGAGGAGAAAATATACTACACACCTTCGTCAACCGTAACGCTTAATTGGCGTTGTGGGTAATGAAATAAGGAAATGAAATATATCACTGGTGTAATGAAAGAGAGAAATAAACCTCGTCTTTTCGCTCCGGGTGAAGGGGCGGCCCTGTTAAGAAGTAAAAGAAGGAAGTGCTGACCGGGCGCAAAGGAGACGTCCACGTCGTCGTCGTCGTCCGGGCGCTGCTGCTCGGGGCGCCGCAACCAGACATCGCGGCGCCGGGTGATGTGGAACTGCGTGTCCAGCGAGAAACGGGTGGGCACCGGATCGCTCACTTGCTGAAAGTGGATGGGCAGCTCGAAGGGCACCGGCTCCTGCGGCGTGCAGCGCATCGGCTCCGAGAACGGGCTGCCCTCGCGCACCGTGCACGGCACCAAGTGGATGCGGTAGGTGCCGGAGTAGTCCTTCACCTGCACGCACACACGTCAGGTGGCGCTCACTCTAGGCCAGTCTGTCAACCACTGTTGCGACGGCGCAGCCGGGGGTCGACCCCCCTTCCAAATGTTTTAAATTCTTTTATTTTCAATTTTGCTTGCACACACACACACACCACACACACACACACACACACACACACACACACAACACACACACACACACACACACACACACACACACACACACACACACACACACACACACACACACACACACACACACACACACACACACACACACACACACACACACACACATATATATATATATATATATATATATATATATATATATATATATATATATATATAAAAGGAATAAAAGGAGAATAAAAGGAGTTTGACTCACAAGTGAAAAGATTTTTTACTTGACGTTTCGACCGTGGGCCCGGCCTTCGTCAGAATGAAACAAAACACAGCAATGGTAACCACTTATATGCCAGTTGGTCACATGGATTGTAGATAGGTACAATCAATACACGTGGAAAAAATGCGTTCAAAATGTATCAACATACTGTTCGTCAGTAACATACTCGCGTAACAAGAAGATTCAACAGCAATTGACAGCTCATGTGGTGACGAAAAAAACACCGATAACAGAAGATTAACACGTGAAAAACAGCACCTACACTGTTACGGACAATTTTCAAGGATATAATAATAAAAGGTGATCAATGCGCATGACATATTACTGGCGCAAGAACGTTAAGGTGCCGGGATTTTCGTTGAGACCGAAAGCAATGGTACTGAATTTGTGGATGAGATATGATTCCCGGACTTCTCTGTCACGATGGGAGCTAAAGCCTGACTCTAGAATTGTAGCTTTTATCTTGCTGAAGGAATGACCTGGAAGCGCAACGTGTTTCGATAACGGTAAGTTAGGAAGGGAAATCGCGTGTGCTTTATGATTATTAAAACGTGCTGTTTTTCACGTGTTAATCTTCTGTTATCGGTGTTTTTTTCGTCACCACATGAGCTGTCAATTGCTGTTGAATCTTCTTGTTACGCGAGTATGTTACTGACGAACAGTATGTTGATACATTTTGAACGCATTTTTTCCACGTGTATTGATTGTACCTATCTACAATCCATGTGACCAACTGGCATATAAGTGGTTACCATTGCTGTGTTTTGTTTCATTCTGACGAAGGCCGGGCCCACGGTCGAAACGTCAAGTAAAAAATCTTTTCACTTGTGAGTCAAACTCCTTTTATTCTCCTATTATTCCCGGATCCGGCGACAAACGCTCCTCCAATATATATATATATATATATAGAAGAGACACAACTTAGTGGTTGCTTAATTTTATTTCCAGCAATTTCGACCGGGGTGGCCCGGTCTTCGTCAGGGTTTGCGAACAAGTGCGATGCTATGCGACCATGCCGCATCGACATGGTGGTGCAAGAAGGAAGGTGCAGGAAGGAGAGAGCGATGAATTAGTGGTGTTTTACATGGGTGACATATGCTATGTCGAACAGTTCTCTTCTTCTCATTCGCTTGCTCCAGGTGAGAAACCCGCGCAGGTGGGTTTGTCACGTGCGCGGGTTTCTCACGTGGTATTTTTTGTATTTCGCTGGTATTAGTAATTTGCAGAAAAACACTAATACTTCACTGATATTAAGTTGAAAACTATATATTTGGGCGTTTTGCAAACCGATCCACAACTTTCTCATTGAAATTTTTTTATCTATCTTCGTTTCTTGAAAAGCTAGTTAATTAAACATATCTAAATAAACAATGTTTGGGGACACAAAAAGAGTCTGACTAACTCCAGGCAACGGTGATCAACATTCATTTGATCGTGTGATAATTACGTGTTCCGGCCTATAACACTGGCTAAAGTTACGTAAGACACCCTACATAGTGGTTGCTAGTTCAACGTTCTCGTCTGTCATTTTTGCACCACCCTCTGTCCAGCGCTTTGCCATTTTAATTATGTACACCCGTCGGCAAAACAAGTCGGGACGGGCGAGTGGCGACCACAATCTGATAAAACGCATCGTGCCGTCATAACTTTGAGCGTCGGGGTTTTAGACAACGCAACACACGTGCGCCTATTTTAATGGTAGAAGCCATGTCTTAGTCGCTTGCAGTGTACTATAGCTGATTACACGTATGTAGATTACACGTATGTAGGAGTGCTTTGTTTTTTCCATCATTTTCGCCATTCAACGGGGGCACACGGTTGGCGCGAAGCGTATAAGCTGCTCGCATAACGCGATTAAGGATAACTTACTTTGTCTCAGTAACAAAGTGTTGCCACATACAGCATCAGTTGCCTTCTATCCATGTTGCCTTGCCGCGGTGGTCTAAGGAACTCGGCTGCTTACCGGCAAATCGCGGATGTAATCTCGGCAGCGGCGGCTGCATTTTCAATGAAGGCGAAAATGCTGTAGGCACATGTGCTCAGATTGGGAGCCACGTTAAAGAACCCCAAGTGGCCGAAATTTCTGAAGGCCTCCACTACGGCGCCTCTTACAATCATATGTTGTTGGTTTTAGAACGTTAAATCCCACATATCAATCAATCAATGATACATGCAATCAGCTGGCCTATTGCAAGCGAGTAAGAAGACATGACTGCGAGTGTGAAAGAATGCGCACGTGCACTGCGATGTCTCAGCACCAAACGCAGATGCAGTTTCATCTTAGTTTTATCTCATTGCCATCACTGTTCGCCGACTTATTTTGCCGACGAGTGCACCAAAACCAGCCAAGTTAGGTGCTATCCAATACTTGATTCAGCTGTAGAAACCAAAAACGCATCGTTTTAAAATACTGTGAATGCACCGACCACAACCTGACAGTGCGAAATAGTGCTCGCCCAGCCTGGTGCTTTAAAGAGAACGAAACTTATCCAGAAAACCACCAGGAATGCCGGAATCAGGGATACGCTATAATATTACAAACTTGATAGTTGTCGTACAGACCTTGCTTGGATAGTTGGCACAATCTTGAACACACATGTCGGGGCCGTGCTAAAGATACGCGAAGGAGGGAAAACGAGTGCACAGAACGCGATAGGATACCATGTTTTCTTCACACAACCATTCTACGTATATATATACAGTTCAAAAATTTTATTTCAGTGGTTTGGTATATACGCTTCGATTTGCAAGACTGTTTTACTATTCGAAATATTCCAACCTCTCAAATTTCAAAAACATAATCAGGACAAGTTCTCACAGCACCTAAGAAGCATTGAATATGTTTTATCGACTATGGGCTGTCCAGAGGATTCTCGATTTGGTGGCAGGGCTTGACCTGATTGTGCCAATGTCAGGGCGACCCGCCGTGCACTGAGTCGCGCACCACAAGACTTTCAATAAAGTTTTGCATTCATCCATCCATCAGCAAGGTGTTCAATAACGTGATTCGACCAACTGGAAATAGTGGCTGAGGTTTAACACTAGTATAGTTTGTCATTACGAGCGAAATGTATGTTTGACTCGATATTTCGAAGAATATGCAGACATTGTTTCACTGTAGTTCGGCCCCTTCTCCTAGTAGTTCATGCTACTGAACGACAGTAGTCACTACAGTAGCTGCGACATTGGCACACTGCCGTGCTTCGTAGGTTTTTCTAAATATGCTATAGCCTAGACTACATTTGCTCCGGTTTCAGCTGGCAATTTCGTCTTGGCTTAATATATTTCAGCCTGCTGTCTAGCAGGCCGAGTCTAGATGATTATTGGATTCTGCCTGCCACTCACGCTGAAGCGAACGCACCTACGGTTCAAACGGTGCGTGCGCCAGCGAAGCAGCCGTCAGAACTTTGCCTGTTCACGTGCTGCAGTTCTAACGGCGAGGCTTTGAGCGAGCGGAGCTGCGACATTTCTCCGCAGCGGATCATGCGGCGCGACGGGAGCATGGCCGCACTCCCGCCACCCATGATATGCACCACCGCAATGATGCTGGTAACGTATACGCCGTATTTCGAATATATTTGCTCTTCAGCAAGCAAGGGGGGAGAGGGGACAAGCAGAAATTTCAGGGGGCAGCCTTGAAACGTGTCTGCCACGTGCAATAATCTGGCTCGCGTATTCCCGAGATCACAGACTACCGATTGCCGGAATTTTTCACCGTGTTCCAAGAAGTGTTGCGAGGCCCCTTCATCCTTACCTAGTGGAGTTGTGTGGAAAAAAAAAAACAACTTGGACCATCTCTTGAACCATCTCTTGAAAAAACTTGAACCCTGATGGGGTGCGAAGCAGCATGAGCACGAGTGGCGTCACGGATTGAATGGCGCTAACGCAGATTCTGTGGTGAGCGCTGGAAGATTCGTTTCAAGCAGTGGCTGGCGTAGGTCTTGTAGGTGACACGCACAGACATGTTTCAACGCGTACCTTAGGCGCGCGTCAGGTATATTGCGCGTGAACCGACGAGTTGGTGGTGTAGCGAGGGGCGTTCGCGGCAGGTGTAGCGGGTGAACGAACGAGTCACCCGAAGTGCCCAACGCGCGGCAGGCGAGGGAGAGAGTGACGTCAGCGCGCACAGTGAGCAACGACCCCGAGACTCAAGGCTGGGGCGCTGCCTCTGTGACGTAGACGGGATGGGGCCGATGGAAGCGTGAGAACACTTCAACATAAGTCCTTATATTATTTATTCAGACAACCTAAGAGCACCGAAGGGCAATACGGAGGGCATTAGTGGCTGACTTTTTTTTTTTTTTGCAGCTACACATGTGACATGCTGAATAAAATTAGGAAGGAAAACACAGAAGATACCACAATATTTACACTCACCGGCGTTATTTATTCATTTATTTATTAGAGTTTGCAGCTTCAGCTTCTTAGTCTTGTTGTCCGGGTCCGACACTTTGTTGCTTAATCGTCGGCAAAAGTTCTTAAGCAGAATGATTATGCCGCACACAATATATATCTGAGCAGTACTACTTCATTTGCGTGTCCCTTATCACAGACGTCGAAATCTGAAGGCTTCTCATCGCTGAGCAGTTGCAGCGTTAGTTCCGTG